CAGGTATGGCTGCCTGTGGGACAGAAGTCACCGGGTGTCTGGGGACAGTCTTCCCAACTCTGATTCCCAATGTCTTGCTGTCTCAGGCGAGAAGAGTTCGTGCAGTGGGTGGAGCTGCTGCCTGATGCCCAGACACCCTCGTGGCTGGGCCTGCCCAACAATGCCGAGAGGGTCCTGCTCACCACCCAAGGTGCGTAGTGAGTCTCCTCACTCTGGAGTCCTGCCCACCCTCAGCCTGCTGGGTAGGGCTTGTTCACCTCTGTGGGAAGGCACAGAAGGCTGCCTTTAGATCAAGGTTGGAAGCACTGATTAGAGCTTGGTGGTAGCGGCAAAGGCAGAAAAACCATGCAGTTGAGCATCTGGTCTACACAGCATGCCTTAGGTTACATGAGATCATGCCTCAGACACAAGGCACTCCTTGTATTAAGTCAGCTTTTGTTCTGTTCTGCTTTTCACAACACTGGGCGTCGAATCCAGAGCCTGACCCAATTGCAGAGCTCTGTGAGTGAGCCCCAGACTCTCCCCTTCACCCATGTCCTAAAACAACCATTTAGAGCCAGGCTTCATGCCCATACCTGTGATCCTAGCACCCATGTAGTAGAGGCAACAAGGTCAAGAGTTCTAGGCTAACCTAGGCTCTTTAAAAACATCGGATGGGATGGCTCAGTGGTTAACAGTGATTGCTGCACAAGACATAGACACCAGAGTTCTGTCCCCAGAACCCAGTCCTCAGATTTCCACACACTGGCCCTGTGCCTGTACTCAGACAAGCCAAGGACACACGTGATCATAAGATCCAAGCCGAAGGCTCCTCAGCTCTTTTCCTTTATACTGCACACCACAGCATCTTTTTCCTTTATTGTTTGGGGTTTATTTTGAGACCTTCTCGTAGTTCAGGCTGGCCTGGAACTCATTGCTCTCCCTGCCTCAGCTTCCCATGGTCGTGGGTCACCATGCCCAGCTTTATAAGACTTTCACCAGGCGGTGGTGCACATGTTTAATAACAACACTCAGGAGGCAGAGACAGGTGGATCACGGAGTTCGAGGCCAGCCTGGTCTACAAAGTTCTAGGACGCCAGGGCTACACAGAGAAACCCTGTCTCAAAACACACACACACACACACACACACACACACACACACACACACACACACACACACACACACACACACACACACACACACACTTTTCCTCTGCACTACTTGTGCCAGAAGAGAGCCAAGAAAATATATTCAGAGTGCCATCCAGTCAGCGATTCTAAAGCAAGACTCCCCAGATGAGTAGCAACAGTGTAGAGCCTTGTAAGGTGGCCCGTTTTGAGAGGTGCTCACCTAATATGATTTCTGTGAGAAGGCAGAGGAGGCGAGGGCTGGTGAGGCAGGACGGATGGTTCCCAGCTGCCTCGCCCTTCTGCAGAGAGCACTGTCTGGAAGCGTGCTTATTTTCAAGGTGTCTTACATGTCAGAAGTGCTTGTGGGAGGAGCCAGCCCCCTTTGTGAGGTGGGGACTGTTGTCCCTGGAGAGTAGGTAGTGAGCAGCTGTCCCATGCATGTAGTTTGAAAATGAGTGCCTGAGCCTGGGGGGCAGGGCGGGGCGGGTCCAGCCTCCCCAGTGTGTATAGATAGGCCTTTGCTTGGCTTCTTAGCCTCCCCAGTTCAGAAGGCAGGGAAGCTCAGCTGTCTGGCCTTTAGTCTCCATGGGGGAGGAACAGGCCTTCGGTGGACATGGGCATGGTTGGTGTGGGCAGAGTTCAGAGGAATCCCAGCTGCCACCTCAAACATCCCCACAGCAGATAGAGGGCATGGCTCCTGTTGGCCACAGCATCATGGCACGCCCAGGCCACTGGTCCTCTGGATAGCCCTTGATTGACTTGGGCCAGTTTTCTTCTGTGTCTGCCTCTTCTGGGATGTGGATCGAGTGTAGAACAGAGAGCGGCCCGCAGGCTGCCGTTGTGTTGACGTTGATGTCTTCCTCCCGCCGTGGCTGCCTAGGTGTGGACATGATCAGTAAGATGCTGAAGATGCAGATGCTGGAGGACGAGGACGACCTGGCCTATGCCGAGACTGAGAAGAAGACCAGGGCGGACTCCACATCCGACGGGCGGCCGGCCTGGATGAGGACGCTGCACACCACAGCCTCTAACTGGCTGCACCTCATCCCACAGACGCTGAGCCCACTTAAGCGCACTGTGGAGAACATCAAGGTAGCTGGCCTGGAGCCTTCGTGCTGTCTGGAGTCGGTGTGCTGTCCCCCAAACTTGAGCAAGAGCAATGACCTCAGCTCAATTGTTTTAGAGCCGTCTGTGATCTGAGAGCCAGGCAGAGGTCATTCTATGGGGAGCTGGTGGCAAGGCTGGGGCCACACCACAACTCTAGTGACCCTGTGGGGCACGAGGTAGATCTTGAGCCCTCCTAAGGCTGGCTGGCTTCTGTCGACAGATTTCCTGGTCTGCAGCCCTCTTCTCTTTGGCTTTAGGATCCTTTGTTTCGGTTCTTTGAGAGGGAAGTGAAGATGGGAGCCAAGTTACTCCAAGATGTGCGCCAGGACCTTGCTGACGTAGTCCAAGTGTGCGAAGGGAGGAAGAAGCAGACCAACTACCTGCGCACGCTCATCAACGAGCTGGTGAAAGGTGCCGCTCTGCGCTCGTGCCGTCCACGGGGACGGACCCGACAGCCCCAATCAGGGGGGGTCCTAGAAACGCCCCGGGGCTCGCTGGACGGTCCTGGTTCTGTGCAGTTTCTGTGATTTAGGGGTGATGCGGTGAGGGGACACAGAACAGGCGGGACAAGGACAAGAGGTGTCAGTCCAAAGACACGGTGTGCGCCTGCAGTGTGGGCTTCCAAGCATGCACCCCACACTGACAAACTGCCCTGGGCTTTCTGGGTGTGGACGGGACCAGGTACAGCCAGGAGTAGGGCTGTGGTGTGCAGGTGTGGTAGCTTGAGCCACCTCAGCTGCCGGGGGTCAACAGAGCTGATGCCAACACCTGGGTCTCCATTCCTCGCTGCAGGGATCTTGCCTCGGAGCTGGTCCCATTACACGGTGCCTGCGGGCATGACGGTTATCCAGTGGGTGTCAGACTTCAGTGAGCGGATCAAGCAGCTGCAGAACATCTCACAGGCAGCTGCGTCCGGGGGAGCCAAGGAGCTAAAGGTGGGCAAGCCTGACCCTGCAGAGTCCGGGTAGCACCAGTTGTCCCTTTAGGATGGCACTGGGGACAGCCCAGGTCTGTGTCTGACCTGCTCTCCTTCCCTGGGGCTGTTGTTTCCACAGAACATCCATGTGTGCCTGGGTGGCCTGTTTGTGCCTGAGGCCTATATCACCGCCACCAGGCAGTATGTGGCGCAAGCCAACAGCTGGTCCCTGGAGGAACTCTGCCTGGAAGTCAATGTCACTGCCTCACAGAGTGCCACCCTTGATGCCTGCAGCTTTGGGGTCACAGGTGAGTGACAGTCTGAGTGCTCAGATAGCCATTTGGCATGTCCCTTCTCTGAAGCCTTTTGCCAAATGAGTTAGTGCAAGTGGCCAGGAGAGCAGCCCGCTGAGCCTGTGGGTGCCCAGTACACAGGGCTGGGGGCTGGGAGCCGCTTCAGCCCTGGCCTCCATGTCTCCTCACAGGTCTGAAACTTCAAGGGGCCACATGCAACAACAACAAGTTGTCACTCTCCAACGCCATCTCCACGATCCTCCCGCTGACCCAGCTACGCTGGGTGAAGCAGACCAATGCCGAGAAGAAGGCTAACGTGGTGAGTACCGTCCTCCCTGCTCCATGGCTCTGCCTGGGCTGTGCCTGGGACTCTGCCTGCCTGCAATGGCCACCACAGCCTTGGGCCCCTGCAGGAGCCTCCTGTCTCCAGAGTGAGTCACAGCAGCCCCCTCTGTCTGTCCCACAGGTGACCTTGCCTGTCTACCTGAACTTTACTCGGGCAGACCTGATCTTCACCGTGGACTTTGAAATTGCTACAAAGGAAGACCCTCGCAGCTTCTATGAGCGAGGAGTTGCAGTTCTGTGCACTGAGTAAAGCTAGACTTTCCTTGGATTCTCTTTCTGGAATAGTAAAATCCAATGTTTAACATTCATTCATCCTTAAACGTTTGGGAAGTTTGATGGACTTGTGAAAGAACGTGGTTGGTTCGCGCTGGAAGAAATGGAAGGTGCTGTGGTTGGGAACAGAGGGACGGGAAAGGTGACAGTGTGTTCAGAGGGCTGATGGAATGGCTTGTTTTGTTATAAAACACTAAGCATGACAGGACCCTGCCTCTTGTGGTTGCTCTTGTGGTGTAGGAATCCTTGCGCCGCACCCCAGCCCACCCCACCTTTGTCACTGTGGTCACAGATTCAGAAGCTGCCAGGCGAGGCCAGAGAGCTGCACTTCACCCGGGCAGCAGCTGTCCTCTTGACTAAACACTAAGGCGTGGCTGTCTGGCACCCCCACCCTCCGGGGGCCTTCTCCGCCTCACAGACACACCCACTTCGTTTCCATACCACCCGGCACGGTGACAATGGCCTTGGCCTCACAGGAGCCATCACCTCACAGGAGATGGTTAACCTGGCCTTAGCGTCTCCACGGTGACTATGAGTGGCACTTGGTGGGCAGAGGCTGTTGTCACAGCTGTAGAAACTCCTTAGCACAGAGAGGGAGGCACTGTCCTAACCCCCAAGAGCGCTGGGAGCAATCTCATGAACAGGAGGAGGTGACCCAGGCCTGGACTGTAAACAAGCAGCCAACACTGTCCATGAGGAACACTTGGGGGACAGGTGCAGGTGACTGTCCTGCAGAGCCCACAGGAGTGACTGTGCTTTTCCTTGCTGCCTCCAAATACTCCTAGGATGTTGCCTGGGTCTCTGGGAGACTGCTGGGAACACCGGGCTCGCCTAGCCCCAGAACTGGACTTGTGGTCCTGGAAGCACCTCCTCCCCAGGGAGCACCCCCGCCCATCCAGCCCCTCCTACAATCAGAAGAGTCAGTCACGCTAGACAGTCACCACCAGCCCTGTTGTCCTTCCTGGTGGAGCCAGCCGGGGCACTGCCAAGCAAGACCCTACCCCAGCAAGTGCTGGGATGGCCCCGACAGCGCCCCAAGGTGGGCCTTGCCCTTCCCAGAGCGGGCACCGCCTTATGGCACCTCTTTTATTTGCACTTGGGAACCTTGTGCTTGTCCTGTGCCACGGGGGTGACACTAGATTGGAGAGGAGGTGGAGCCTGGACCTCGGGTGGCCGCATCAGATGGCGTTGAGCGCTCATCACCTACCACAAAGAAGATGACAGCAGTGAAAAGCTGGCAAGGGTAGAACGGGGACACGCCACCCACAGCGGGGACATGCCACCCAGGGCGGGCCCACGCTCTGGCAGGCTGAGCAAAGTGACCAAGAAACCCTGCTTCCGGTGACACGGAGGGCTTGATGAGCATGCGCAGACAGACTTCTGAACACGCTAGGACCGGAATCTGGCCCGCCCCCGCCTCAGATCAGCACCTGGGAGACTCAGGCAGGAAGGTTGCTGGGGATGTATAACAAGATCCTGGGGTCTAGGAGGCCCAGTGACAGCCACTGGAACCACCCCTGAATTGCAGCCTGTTTTTAAAATGTTTTGCATTAGTGTGTGTGTACACACACATGTGCCTAAGCACATGCTGCTGTGTGTTCCTGTGTGGTGGTCAGAGAAAATTTTGTGGAGATGGTTTTCTCTTTCCACCATGTGGGTGCTAGGGATTGAACTCTGGTCATCAGGCTTGGCAGCAAGCCCCTGGCCCTCTGAGCTCTCTCCCAGCCCTGCACACCCATTTTTAAGCCAGATGGTAGGGACCTATTTACTATTAGTTGGGAGTGAGTCCCTGGCTCTGTGCTGGGCCCACTGCCCTGTCCTGTGCTAACCCAGGGTCCCTGTCCTGTGATAGCCCACCTGCCCCTAACCCAGGGCCCCTGTCCTGTGCTAACCAGGGCCCCTGTCCTTTGCTAACCCAGGGCCCCTGTCCTGTGCTAACCAGAGCCCCTGTCCTGTGCTAACCCACATGCCCCTGTCCTGTGCTAACCAGGGCCCCTGTCCTGTGCTAACCCACATGCCCCTGTCCTGGGCTGCATACTTCTTCTTTCTCTTAGTCCGCTCAGGCTCCGAAAGTAAAAGCTCCAGCTTCCTCTTAGAAAGTGACAGCCTGGGTCCCTTGTCTCTCTCGCTCCCGAGTCTGGGAGGCGACCGAGTTGCTCTCGCTCTGCCTGGCAGGTGCCTGCTCATCTCTGGGGTCTCCACAGGAATGAGGGGGCTGGCAGCCCTCGTCACCCTCCAGTCCTCTAGTGATGGAGACAGCCTGGCAGGCCACCCGTTGACCTCCTGGGGGCTGAGTGCCTTTAGTTCACCCTCAGGCTGCATGTCGACGTCATTGACTTCCAGGGCTATGGGGGCCCAGCCAGAAGCTTTCATGAGATCTGGAGCCTTTGGCGGCAGCGAGTCTTCCACACTGGCCTCCTCAGCAATCTTGAACCGCAGTGTGTAGGAAGGTGCATGGCGGTTCCTGTCGCCCAGGAGGCGGTGGGCACGCTGGCGGTAGTTGCGGTAGCTGGGATGGCCTGGGGTATCTTCTGAGTCACCATCATAAGGATCTAAAAACTGATGACGAAAGCTTTCTGAGGGTTTGGCTGTGTGCACAGGCCCGAGACTCAGTTCCCGTCACCACAGAATTGAAGAGTCTGAGCCTGTGGATAGTCCCGGTCGCAGGCTAGTGTGTAATACAGTTGAAAAAATAAAAAACATCTCCATCCCTGTGACGGCAAATGGCTAATTTATATGATTTACTTTGCATCTAAACTTTTTTTTGTAGCCAGATGGGCCTGAACTTCTGATCCTCCAGCCTTCACCTCCCCACCGAGGGTTCTTTGTGGTGATTTAACCCAGAGCCTCAGGAATGCTAGACACACACTCAGCTACCTCCCCAGATTAAAGATTATCTCACTATGTAACCTTGACTGACCTAGAGCTATGTATGTAGACCAGGCTGTCCTAAAACTCAGAGATCCGCCTGCCTCTGCCTCCCCAGTGCTGGGATTAAAAGTGTGCGCCACCATTGACAAAGTGCTTAATCCTTTAAAGGATGCTTGACAGTCCCCCAGCTTCTGCTGTGGGATCAGAACTTCCTGTGTGCCCTTTCATGCACTCTGTGGGCATATTTTGTCAACATTTGTTCCTGTCTTGTGGTGGCACTGCCTGCCATCCCAGCACTCAAGGGGCAAGAGAAAGGCCTGTCCTGAGTTGTCCAGCCTGGGCTATGTAGTGAGACATCCCACCAGACTGCCTATGTGCAGGGCTGCTTGGACTCTGACCCTCACAGCCCGCTCACTAGGCTGACCTTGGCTTTAGAGGACTCGCTCAGTCTGGGGCCTTGGCCAGGTCTGAGACATACCTCTCTCCAGATGCCTTCGGCGAAGTCCATGAGGTTCCTTCTGGAGCTGACCTGTGAGTAAGGGCTAGATGCCGATTCTGCAGCTTAACACACAGGGCACTTGGGGTGCTCGCTGCTCACACCACAGGACATGCTCACAGTCACCCTGGTAAGGAGGGGACCCAGGACAAAAGTCCTCCCAGAGCCCAGCAGAGGCAGGGGAGCCCTTCTCGGGCACAGTGGGCTATACAACGCTCTGATACTGGTTTGGGGCCCAAAAGCCAGGAGGTGGAGAACACTGAACTTTCTCCACTGGCCCCACATACGCTAACCCAGGAGCCTGGCCTTCGGTAGGCTGGCACTTTCCAGCTAGTCCCCAGGCCACGGAGCAAGGCAGCTTTCGTTTCCTTAATCAAAGAACACGGGAATATGAATACTTTTAGTTCTGGAAAGGGAGGAAGGGATCCAAAACTTAATCAAAGAACACTGGAATATGAATACTTTAAGTTCTGGGAAGGGAGGAAGGGATCCAAAACTTAATCAAAGAACACTGGAATATGAATACCTTTGGTTCTGGAAAGGGAGGAAGAGATCCAAAACTTGCAGCGGTGGCATTCCCATCCCACCCCTCGCCCCGCCCCAACAGGAGGGCACCTGAAGGCGCTGGCGAGCCTGTCTCTGCCACTTCCGGAAGCCAGCCGCACTGAATGCTGCCCGGATGCAGGTGGGTCGGCTGGGCCTCAGGCTGGCCATCACTCAAGGCCAGGCACACGACTTCACTTGACTAAAAATACCAAGTTAGAGAGAGCCTGGTCAGAGGTTCTACAGAGGACAGGAAGGAAGCTTTGTTTCTGAAGCAGTCCTACCCTGTCACCCAGCCTGCTCTTGATTCTCTGGGAATATGAGGCTACTGAGGCAGGAGAAACATGAGTTCAACGCCAGCCTGGGCTACACAGAAGTTCAAGGCCAGCTTGGAATGCATAGAAAGACCCTACATCAGAAAAACAAAGCAAGGGCTGTGGGTATAACTCAGTCTTACGTGGTGCTTACTTAGCATGTATGAGACCCTGGACTCAGTCCCCAACACCTATAAAACTGGAGTGGTGACACAAGTTTGAAGACCCAGCACTCAGCTGGGCGGTGGTGGTACACGCCTTTAATCCCAGCACTCGGGAGGCAGGCAGGTGGATCTCTGAACTTGAGGTCAGCCTGCTTTACATAGTGAGTTACAGGCCAGCCAGAGCTGTTACACAGAGAAACCCTGTCTCAAAAAAAAGAAAAGAACACCCAGCATTCAGAACGTGGAGGGAGGAGGATCAGAAGTCCAAGGTCATCCTTGACTATATTACAAGAAGCCAGCCTGGGCTACATGAGCTCCTTCGTCAAAAACACAAAAACCTATGGTTGTGGGTGCATACATACAATGGTAGAACACTTGCCTAGCGCTGAACTGTGGGTGAAAAGAGGTGGGGGTCAGGAGAGCACAAGAGACCATGCACTCCACAGAGAAAGGAGCCATCCTGGATACACGAGACCCTCTCTATAGTTTAAAAATAAAATAAATGGCGAAAGTGCTAAAAAAAACGGGGCTGCAGAGCACCTGCTCTTTTTTTTATTATCATTTTTTATGAGCACCTGCTCTTTCAGAGAACCCGGTTTCAGCTCCCAGCACCCAACTAATCTTGTGCCCCCTTCTGGTGCACAGACATAAATTCAAGTAAACTTCTCAGACATAAAATACATAGTTTTTAAATAGAATATAAAGAAAACTAGACTACAAACCTCCCTGAAGTTTCATGTCATTGGACTTCTCCAGAATCGTGGGAGCATCTGCTAGACCCTGTTGGAAAGAGACTCCGTCACAAACGCACATGCATCACGCTGTACACCTGTCAGTAATAAATCCCCAATCTCCCAGACTGGGCTCCTGGGAACCCAGCTCTGAGGCCTATAAAGCAAGCAAAACCTAGCTCTGGGGCTGAAGAGTTGGATCAGTAGTTAAGAACACCAGCTAGTCTTCCAGGGGTCCTGAGTTCAATTCCCAGCACCACTTGATAGCTCACAACCATTTGTAATGAGATCTGCTGCCCTCTTCTGGCCTGCAGGCATACGTGCTGTCAGAACACTGTATACATAATATGTAAATAAAATCATCATCAAAAAAATAACTGGCCCTGCTACACCCTTATGAACACACAGAGTTCATGGCGTCTTAAAGGCTAGGAAAGCCCAGCAGAGAAGATAACTAGAGCCTAGCATGGTGGCGTTCACTCACACCTGCCTCTAAGCCCAGCACTGGGGGTAGGGGCGTGAGGCTCAAGAGATCAAGACCATTCTTGACTACAAAGGGAGTTGAGGGCAACCTGGGCTATGACACCCTCTCTCCATAAAACAAAAAAAAGGGAGAGAGAGAAGGAAGGGGCTGGAGGTGCCTGGGAGGTGAAGATCATTCACTGCTCTTCTATTGGACCTGAGTCCTGTTCCCAGCACCCACAGCCACCTGGGTACCAGATACCTGTCTTCCTCCAGCGTCTGCACACGTGTATACGTAAGCGTGCACACACTTAGAAAATACTAGAGATAAATGCCAAAAAAGGAAGAAAAGGAGGAAGGGAGGGGGGAGAGAGAGGGAGAGAGAGACAGAGAGACAGAGAGACAGAGAGAGGAGGGCAAGAGAAGAGCTCAGAGGTTGGGAGCAGGGGCTGATCCCCAGGTTCCGTTCCCAGCACCCTCATGATGGCTCACGACTGTGACTCTTACTGCTCTATGTATAAGGACGTTTTGGGGACATGTATGTCTGTGCACCACAAGCTGCCTGGTGTCTTCATTTGTGGGGCTTTCAACTCCACACATGCACCATGGTACACACACAACAGATAAATGAAGGGAACGCATGCGCAAAAGACCCTTGACTAAACAGCCTACAAATATGAGAAAACGGCTCAGCTGGACCGCCACGGGCCGCAGGTTGGATTCCAGGCACTCACATGGTGACTCACAGCTGCAACTTCAGTTCCAAGGGCCCCAACGCCCTCTTCAGGCCTCCAAAGGCACTGTACACACATGGTGTACACATACCTACAGGCAAATACTCATACACATAAAGCCAGGCCTGGTGGCGCACACCTTTGATCCCAGCACTCAGAGGCAGAGGCAGGTGGATCTCTGTGAGTTTGAGGTCAGCCTGGTCTACACAGAGAGTTCCAGGACTTCACAAAGAGACCCTGTCTCAAAGGAAATCAGGCAAGCAACAACCAACCTTTCTTTCTTTTTTTTTTTTTTAAGATTTATTTATTTATTACACATACAGTGTTCAGCCAGGAGAGGGCACCAGATTGAATTGTAGATGGTTGTGAGCCACCATGTAGTTGCTGGGAATTGAACTCAGGACCTCTGGAAGAGCAGTCAGTGCTCTTAACCTCTGAGCCATCTCTCCAGCCCCCCAACCTTTCTTTCTATGCCTTGGATTTTACAACTACACGTATCAGTCAGGCGTGGTGGTGCACCTTCAATCCCAACACACAGGAGGCAGAAGCAGAGGCAGGAGGATGTCTGTGTTGAAGGCCAGCCTGTTCTACAGAGTGAAACACTAAGGCTTGCTGTTCTGACACCGGCAGAGCTTAGGTGAGGAAAGGACACCCAGCTTACAGCTGGAGAAACTGAGGCTGAGAAAAGTGGCACCGGCTGAGGGCCAGAGATGACCAGGCTGGCCTCAAGCTCAGAGATCCAGCTGCCTCTGCCTCCTGAGTGCTGAGATTCAAAGTGTGGGCCACCGCCACCCATCTGTAATAGCTTCATTAAAAAATACGTCTTGCCGCAGGGCGGTGGTGGCGCATGCCTTTAATCCCAGCACTTGGGAGGCAGAGGCAGGCGGATCTCTGTGAGTTCGAGGCCAGCCTGGTCTACAAAGTGAGTTCCAGGACAGCCTCCAAAGCCACAGAGAAACCCTGTCTTGAAAAACCAAAAAAAAAAAAAAAAAAAAAAGTCTTGCCTTCAGAAGGTAAGCTTTTTTGTTGGACCTTGCAACCAAGTTTTAAAAAATCTATGCACTCACAGGGGCTGGAGAGATGGTTCAGTGGTTAAGAACACTGGCTGCAAGCCGGGCGGTGGTGGCGCACGCCTTTAATCCCAGCACTCGGGAGGCAGAGGCAGGCGGATCTCTGTGAGTTCGAGGCTGGGCTGGACCGATAGCCTCCGAAACAATACAGAGAAACCCTGTCTCATAAAAAAAAAAAAAAAAAAAAGGACTGGGAAGAAAACAAGGGGGGGGCTCAGCATGTGCACACGCTCACACACACACATTCTCCCACACATACAAGCAACATGCATGATGAAATCAACTGAAGAACAAAAACCATCATGGCTCAAAATGAGTAACAACATCCACCCAAGTCCAGTGTGGTGGTACTCTCTGCCGCCAGCACTCGGGAGGAAAAGACAGTGAATCTCTGTGAGTTCCAGGCCGGCCAAAGACTTGGTAAACCAAGGTAACCTTCTCAGAACCCTCCAAGGATTCATACCCAACCACGCCCCACCCTCCCATGGATGGGAGGCCTGAAACTCCCAAAGTGACCAGAGGAAAACAGAGTCTTTCAATGATGTTGGGGCCAGGCGGTGGTGGTGGCACACGCCTTTAATCCCAGTACTTGAGGGGGCAAAGGTAGGTGGACCTCTGTGAGTTTGAGGTCAGCCTGGTCTACAGAGCGAGTTCTAGGACAGCCAATACTGTTACACAGAGAAACCCTGTCTCAGAAAAAAAATTTCTCTTTATGCGCCCTGGTGTTTTGCCTGCATGTATGTCTGTGCGAGGGAGTCGGATAGCCTGGACCTGGAGTGACAGTGAAGTATGGCGTGGGTGCTGGCCACTGTTCCCCGGGTCCTCTGGAAAAGCAGTCGGAGCTCTTATCCACTGAAAGAATATTTGTAAATGTAGGGGAAAGACAGAGAAACACATGTAACCAACAAATACATGAAAAATTTCTCAGTATCATTAGCAGCGGGATACAAATCAAAACTACAGCAAATTCGGTGTCCCAGTCCAGCAGACAGTGTGGTTCATCGGGAAGATCCCCAGTTCGATCACAGGAACCCATGATGAAGGGGAGGGAACTCCACAAAGTTGTCCGTCAACCTACATGTGTATGCACACACAATCATTATGTGATGTGTATAATACATTATATATATATACATACATATATATATATATATATATATAAAATACCCCCTCGTCAAGAATGGCTGTTAAAGTTGCTGGTGGGATACATGCTCTGTCTGTAGGGACACAAGAAAACAATATGACCAAAAAAAAAAAGCTGGGCGTTGCTGGCGCATGCCTTTAATCCCAGCACTCCAGAGGCAGAGGCAGGCAGATTTTTGTGAGTTCGAGCCCGGGCTGGTCCTACAGCCTCCAAAACAATACAGAGAAACCCTGTCTTGTAAAAAAAAAAAAAAAAAGAAAGAAAGAAAGAAAGAAGGAAAAGAAAACAATATGGAGCTGGGAAGGTGGTGCCTGCCACCTTTAATCCCAGCACTTGGGAGGCAGAGGTGGGCAGATCTCTGAGTTTGAGGCCAGCCCGGTCTACAAAGCTACACAGAGAAACCCTGTTTTGAAAAACAAAACAAAAACAAAAAATCTAGCCAGGTGTGGTAGCACTGGCTGCATTTCTGGCACCTGAGGCTGAGGCAGGAGGATCTGAAGTTTGAGGCCAGACAAAAATCTTAAAAAAACAAAACAACGGTGGAATCAGCCTAAGGGTGCCACCTGGGACCTGGCATCACAGCTCAGTGGTGGGTGCCTGCCCACGTGCCTGAGAACCCGGGCTCAGTCCCTGCAAGAGTTCTCAGTAAGAGACTCAGTTACCAGGCGAGCGCTTGGAACCTCTTGTCCTAGCTACCCTGTGCTCTGAGACTCCCGAATCACCTCCCCCTCTGTCCGGTGTTAAGAGGATTAGCTTGCCAATCTGAGATGGGTTCTCCTGGCACTACTGACCTGGTATGCCCTATCTCAGGACGCTCCCCTGTGTGAACCTAAAACCACACACGACTCCTTGGAGCAGGATCCAAGGAGAGCAGGAAGCCCACATTTTACACACACACAGGAGCACATACACACATGTACACACACACAAGCACATACACACACCCCTAACAAGAACAGCTCCTGCTGTAGATGCCGTCTGGGGACAGCCAAATCAACTCCAAGTCCCCAGCTGGGATCCATGTTTGGAAAATATACCTCTCAGAGCAGTCAGGAGACAGCAAATAAACACAGATAATACCCTGCCCTGAGCCTCACCTGGTAGGACCCTCAAGCGAGGTCCCTCTGTGTGCTGTGCACCACCACAGAAGGCTGTCTTTTCTCCATCACTGAATTTTTCAAGGTTGATATCCATTCTCTACTAGGGACTATTTTGATCAAATAACTTCATGCTTGCTTTTTTTTTTTTTTTTTTTGGTTTTTCGAGACAGGGCTTCCCTGTGGCTTTGGAGGCTGTCCTGGAACTCGCTCGGTAGACCAGGCTGGTCTCGAACTCACAGAGATCCGCCTGCCTCTGCCTCCCGAGTACTGGGATTAAAGGCGTGCACCACCAACGCCCGGCCATGCTTGCTTTTCTTTTTGCCTTGTAGGAGTTACAACCAGAGTTTTGAGTTGCTAGGCAAGTGACTACCACTGAGCCACAGTCCTAGCCTGAGCAGACACTTTGCCCGTATGTGAGATTGCACCGCGGCAATCCTGTGTAGGTCAGAGGACCACGCCCAGGAGCCTGTTCTGTCTTTTCATGCAGGCTTAGGGCATGAGCTCAGCCTGTTAGTCCTGGCAGCAAGCGCCTGTACTGGCTGAGCCGCCTTGACAGCCCCCTGACCATTCTAACATGAACTGAAAGGAATACTTACACTTCCTAGTTTGCAATTTCCTGCCCCTGATAAAATGTCAAAACCAGGCTCGGGGTGTACCTCAGTGGTGGAGCGGCGGCCTAGCTCAGGTTCACTCTGAAGCACAGGGTTGGGAGTAAGGGGCACAGTTGAGAGGAGGGAGGGGAGGGCAAACTTGCAGGCCAAGGCAATGTTGTCAATCTCTAAAGCTACAACACCCCTGGAGGCCACTCAGGAACCTTCCCTTTGGGGAGAAGGCTTCCAGGGAGCCTGAGTTTAGCAGTACCCATGGGATCACGAAGCTCGAACCAGAAGGGACGTTTCAGGCAAGGGCCTGTCCGGTGAAGCTGAAACCAGCGTTTTAGTTCTCATCCTAAGTCAGTTTTGTCTAGAGGAAATTCCTCGGGTAAAATAATGTTTTATTTAAGATGCCCCTCCTGCTCCCCCACCATGGCTTTGGATGTAGATGCTAATCTGGCATGTTAATTCCAAGATGCCCCAGAATTCCACAATGGGTTCAAAGGGTGGAGGAGGGTGCTCAGCTCTGAGCAGAGGGTCCCTGCTCTCTGACAGTGGAGTAGTGCAACCCCGGGCATCTCCTGGCACTTTCCCAGACCCCGCTCTGGAGAGCACCAGTTTGAATTACAGATGGTTGTGAGCCACTATGTGGGTCCTGGGAATTGAACCCAGGACCCCTGGATGAGCAGTCTGTATTCTTAACCTCTGAGCCACCTCTCCAGCCCCCAAACCCCACTCTTCATGCCCAGGGCAAATGAAGGGACGCCTCCCCCCACCCCAATCTATCCACTCACAGCAAGGTCTCCTGGAAAGACTAAGCTTCTAGAAAAGGCAGGAGGGCAGGGTCCCCTACCCTGAGAGGTCATGCATTCATTCTCAAAGGACAACCCCCATGTGGAATCAGGCAGCGCCTCCCCTTACCACCACTCACACCCATCCTACTCGGCCCTTCCCAAGTGCCCTGTGGGGACAGTCGGTGGCCGCATACCTGGTGGAGCATGTGTGACCACATCTGTCCAGAGATCCAGTCTGGACCACACTTACTCTGTTCCCAGGAAAGTCAGGCCAGACTTAGCCGGCTATAGACAAGACTGGACTGTCGGTAGCTGGGCCAGGGCCACTAAGTCAGGCCTCTGTGAACCTGGCTGGCAGCCAGTGTGGCCCTGGGGCTGATGTTTATTTAAAGCAACCCCCTAGCTTCAAGCTTCTGGCTTGAAGGACACGCGACAGTGGTTCTAGACTTACCTCCTGGATGGGATGTTCATTTTGGTCCCCAAGTGGTCACCCATGAGTCAGGAGGGGAGGCAGGTGTCCTGCACTTCAGGCCTGTGAGGTCACAGGTATCTCCATGGCAACCCAAAGTGCATGTTCCTGGGTCAACCCAGGACCCCAGGCCCTAAATCCCAGCCCCCCCCCCCCCCGCCCTTCCCTTAGCTCTCCGTCCTGCTGTCTGCCTGCCCCGAGCTCATGTGCAGGCCCAGTCACCCTTGCGGACAGGCCTGACCCATAGCCACAGGCTCCTCTAAGCCTTCCCTTCCTTGGGTTCAAGCCACTCCCCTAGGCCGCATTTAAGACCGCAGAGGCCTTTGTGTGTTTTTGTTTCTTAATGTGCATGGCTGTTGGATCCCCCTGAAACTGGAGTTACAGACAGGTCTGAGCCGCCATGTGGGTGCTGGGAATTGAACCCAGGTCCTCTGGAAGAGCAGGCAGTGCTCTAACCCCTGAGCCTTCCCTGCAGCCCCCAGAGAGGCCTTGGGGGAATTGTCCTGTGTGAGGACATCTTTCTCCAGCTTATGATGTTGTCCCACACTGCCACCACGGCCCCTCTCACAGCCAGGTCACCTGGCCACCTCCCTCCCAGTCACCCACAACTCTTCCGTGGGACACTGAGCTGCCCCTTTGCAGTCTGTGTACAAGCTGCATGCATGCCACTACGTGGCTCCTGCATTGTCATCCCCAAGCTGGCCTGGGGACTTTGAATCCCGATTTTGGAGCCACCTTGAAGTCCCAGGGCAGACAATGAGCAATCCCTTGCTCACCTGTGATTTTCTGGGTGGTCCCCGTACTCTGGCTGAGCATCCCTTGCTCACCTGTGATTTTCTGGGTGGTCCCCGTACTCTGGCTGAGCATCCCTTGCTCACCTGTGATTTTCTGGGTGGTCCCCGTACTCTGGCTGAGCATCCCTTGCTCACCTGTGATTTTCTGGGTGGTCCCCGTACTCTGGCTGAGCATCCCTTGCTCACCTGTGATTTTACAGGTGGTCCCCGTACTCTGGCTGAGCAAACGTGAGGAGGATGGAGGGTTGAGGGAAAGGTGGAATAAGGCAGCCCTTGAGCGCCTTTCAGACACACAAGTGAAAAGTCACACAGGTGAAATCAGGCATATGTGGGGCCCAAAGGGGGCCCTGAGGCGGGGGAGGAGTACCTAAAGAATTGAGGAAGCCATGGTGACTGGCACTTTTAATCCCAGAGCCCAAGAGGCAGAGGCAGGAGGATCAGGAGGTAAATATCATTCTTGGCTTCTTAGTGAGTTCAGCGCCACCCTGAGCTCCATGAGACACTGTTTCCACAACACCTAATGAAGTTAAGAGTGGGCTACTGCTGGGTCGTGGTGGCGCACACCTTTAATCCCACAGTCAGCAGGCAGAGGCAGGCGGATCTCTGTGAGTTCAAGGCCAGCTTGGTCTACAGAGCGAGTTCTAGGAGAGCCAGGACTATTACACAGAGAAACCCTGTCTCAGAAAAACAAAATAGAGTGGACTATTAAGGGACATAAAAGGTCCCCTGAGGAACTGGCAAGAAACCGGAGCACAGGCAGCCAATGACACCCATCTGGTGAGCCCACCTTGCTCACTGGACTAGTTGCGGTCCAGCACCCCTCAAGCTACGGCCAATGCACTTGTAGGCTGCAATTGGTTTTGGGTACTCTGCGTGTCCTTTTTCTTACTTTTTAAAGGATTATTATTTTAAATTTTATGTGTATGATGTTTTCCCATGTCTCTGCATACCACCGTGCCACTGATGCCAGAAGAGGGTGTCAAGAGTCTCTGCAAGCCGGGCAGTGGTGGTGCATGCCTTTTAATCCCAGCACTCGGGAGGCAGGTGGATCTTTGTGAGTTCAAGACCAGCCTGGTCTACAGAGTGAGTTCCAGGACAGGCTCCAACGCCACAGAGAAACCCTGTCTAGAGAAACAAAAAAAAAGTCTCTTTGACTAGAGTTAGAGGGTTGTGAGCCACCATGTGGATGCCGGCAACTGAACCCGTGTCACCTGCAAGAGCAGGAAGTGTTCCTAGTGGCTTAACCAGCCGCATCCTTTATGCTTTTCATGCTAGAGACCCCGCCAGCACCTTGCATAGGTCAAGCACGAGCTTCAAGTCACCACTGAGTGACACACTTGGCTGCCTTATATTTCTGCTTTTTTCTGTTCTTTGACAACTTCATCTGTGTATTCAGCCTATCTTGATTTTAGCCATCCCAGATTCTCCCTTCTATTTCCTCTGACACACCTTTAATCCCCGCACTTGGGAGACAGACAGACAGGTCTCTGTGAGTTCAAAGCCACCCTGAGCTACATGAACTTGATCCGGTCTAAAAGAAAAACAGAGCTCACCAAAGGTGATGTCAGCACTTGGGATCCCATACCTCTAATCCCAGCACTAGGGAGGAATATAAGGCAGGAGGAGACAGGAGGAGCTCAGTGCAGTCTAAGGATCGCACTTCCTGTCTGAGCATTGGTGGAGGTGAGAACTCTCTAGTGGCTGGCTGCTTTGCTTCTCTGATCTTCTGCCCTACGTAGGGCATCTCTATCAACACCCCCAGGCCAGGGAATACGGGAGAGGGGGCAGGAAGAGCATAAGAGCTGGCGGGTGGGGAGAGTGCTGTGATGTAGTCTTCTGCACAAGACATAGCGGTTGCACTCATGGACAGAATCCCAACAAGGCATCAGGCAATTTACTGAGTGTTAAGACAGGTCACCCGAGTGAAATCCTGAGTTCAAGCTGCACATAATCACAAGCACGGGCTGTGCGTGGCAGAAACACGCTTTTCCATAGAGGCACAGGAGCAAATAACAACAGCCAGCTGTAACGAATAATTGGAAGTGAACTCACGTCCGTCTGCTACGCCTGGGAGGCGCACGAGGCACAGTCCAAGAACAATTCAGGGTTCTGAAGAAACAGAACACAGGCACCCAGAACCCCCCCCACCCCCGTGACTCCATTCTTGGACGGTGTTCCAGCAGTGCAGGGACCCACAGAGGGCTCTGCACACTAGGTAAACAGTCTACCAGTGCAGTGACAGCTCCAAACCTTCCATTCTTGTGATCTTGCCCAACTGTATTCTGCTTTACTTTGAGACAGGATCTCACTGTACCCAGACTGGCCTCAAACTCAAGATCCTCTTGCCTCGGTCTCCCAAGTGTTAAAAGAGAAGGACCAAACGCTGTCTGGATGCCTCTCCAGTGCTGCTCAGGGCTGCTCTGTTGTCTTTGTTTCCTATCAGCTGCAATGACCGGGCTTGTCAGTTTCGGGACAGCTGGGCATGTTTGACCTTTCCATGCAACCACACAGAACATTTCTATATGTTTCTCCTGTGATCAAGCAGGCAACATTTCTCTAGTTCAAGCCGGTTCTCACTCAGGGGAAGCGCTGTAACTTCCCAGCTGGGCCACTGATGCCCAGGATGAAGGGTCACCCCTTCAGAAGGACAGAGTATACCTGCATTGTCAGACAGGTCATTTTATCTAATTGTGGTGCTTTCTGTTCATTTTTCACAGGGTCTTTGTAGACCTGCCTGGCTGACCTGGAACTCATTATGTAGATCAGGCTGGTCTCAAACTCACAGAGATCTGCCTGACTCTGGCTCCTGAATGTTGGGATTAAAGGTGCACCTCCATTAAGCCCAGCCATCAGACTTCAACTTAAATGTTCTTCTAGAGCTCATGAGATAGCTTGCTGCCAAGCCTGACAACCTGGCCAAAAGCTTGATTTCTGGAACCCACTTGACAGAAGAGAATGGACTCCTGAAAGTTGTCCTCTGACCTCCACACATGACACATGTACACACACACACACACACACACACAGTTATTTAGGTGAAAAATAAAGTGCATTTTCTGCCTGGTTTGGTAGCAGGCTTGTAATCCCAGCACTTGGAGGTTGAGGCAGGAGGATATCATCACTGTGAGTTTTAGGTTAACTGGGTTACATAGTGATGGTAAGGCCGGTCAGGGCTACATAGCAGATGCTGTCTTAAAAACAAAGCATCACCGGGCGTTGGTGGCACACGCCTTTAATCCCAGCACTTGGGAGGCAGAGGCAGGTGGATCTCTGAGAGTTCGAGACCAGCCTAGTCTACAAGAATTAGTTCTAGGACAGCATCCAAAGTCACAGAAAAACCCTGTCTCAAAAAAACAAAACAAAACAAAAAATTAAATCTTAAACAAATGCTTCAACTGAAGGAGACCCACACACCAGGGGTTCTCCCAGACTCTGGAGGCACAAACCACACCCAAACAGCTGTTTTCACAGAGGGATCTCTTATTTTTTTAAGATTTATTGCCAGACAGTGGTGGCTCATGCCTTTAATTCCAGCACTCAGGAGGCAGAGGCAGGTGGGTCTCTGTAAGTTCGAGGTCAGCCTGGTCTACAAAGCTACACAGAGAAACCCTGCCTCGAGAAAAAAAAGATTTTTGTATGTATGAGTGCTGTATTTGCATGTAGGCCTGCAAATCAAAAGAGGCCATCAGATCCATTATAGACAGATGGGGTTCTGGGAACTGAACCCAGGTCCTCTGGAAAAGAAGTCAGTGCTCTTATTCACTGAGCCATCTCTCCAGCCAGGAGAGATCCATTACCAAGCAGAGAAGAAAAGTCAAAGTGGCTGCTTTCGGACTCAGGCAGAATAACAGAAACAAATGGCCTTGGGGTGTAATTTTTTTTGTTTTGTTTTGTTTTTCGAGACAGGGTTTCTCTGTGGCTTTGGAGGCTGTCCTGGAACTCGATTGGTAGTCCAGGCTGGCCTCAAACTCACAGAGATCCGCCTGCCTCTGCCTCCCGGGAGTGCTGGGGTGTAATTTTTAAGAAGAGAAAAAGGGGAGGTCTGTGTTAGAATGGCTAGGGTTCCATGGTAGATTCTGATTGGACATATTAATTAGGTGAACCAAAGGGTTTTGTTGTTTTGTTTTTCAAGACAGGGTTTCTCTGTATAGCCC